GAGTCTCCATGATTCTCCTACCGGACACAGACGCAGGTTAAGATCTTCCCTGGTAAGACACCTCGTGGTGTTACAGGAATATTAGAAATGGGTTAGATCGATATGTAAGAGCTAGCCAATAAGAGACTGGAACTAATGGGCCAGGCAGTGTTTAAAAGAATACAGTTTCCGTGTAATTATTTCAGGTATAAAGCTAGCAGTGCGGGCGGCTGGGTGGCCGGTCACAACCCCGCCACTCCTATTTCAACACCCTTGCACTCCAGATCCACTCCTCCTCTGTCTCCCCTCAGAATGGGGCAGGCCTCCCAGGGATATCATCCAAACATGGCTTATCAAGTTGCAGTAACGCTAGACTCATCCCCTGATATTAAGGCTGGATGAGACAACCCAGTAGGAGGAAAAGGACCAGGTTTTGACTCTTAAAAGACCACAATTGGTCCCCAGAAGATGCTGGGTCTGGAGTTGTGGAACAAATGCTCTCGGCCATAGAAATCAGGAGGCTGCTGGGTAGGAAGCTAGACGGTCTGTGTATTTGTTCCTCAGATGTGAGTATCTGGGGCCGTGGAAGTGTAAGGACACAGCGATGGACAGAGTCCTTGCTTCCCAGAACCTCACATTCTGGAGGAGTGAAGTCATGTTTACAGCATGCTCTCCAGTCCCTTTAAGGAGTTTCCTTTTGGTTTTAACTTTTCTCCTGAGGAAGAAGAAATATGAAGAACCAGAGAAAAGTGGACTGAACTTTAATCTCAAACTATTTTTCTTCTTATGTTATTTAACAAATATAAAAATTTCTGAAATGAATACATTTTCCTTAATGATATTCTTATATGAATATAGACATAGTCACATATATTTCTTCCAGATAATTTCTAACCAAATATTCACCAGACTATTTTAATGCTATTGTCACATGGAAATATGGGCGCAGCCATAACTTAAACACTGATTTTTGAATTGAAGTAGTGAACAAATGGGAGTTGGGGCAGTGTTTGGAAGAAGCAGACAATATTTGAAAGGAGCCAACTGGGTCCTTTTGTTTTTAAATATTTTTGACGCTTGCTAGTTTCTTCTTGGGAGTCTAAGTAAGTGGAAATTCAATACTCGGTGGACTCATGATCCAGGTGAGGAGCAAAGTCCAGGGGTCAAAAGCAGGGGCCAGATCCTGTTCCCATCCATCACAAAGCATGCCACTATCACTGAGGTTTAGTAGCTTCATCTCAAAAGAGAGGATTGAAAATCTGCTGTGCAGGGTTAGGGAGATGGCTCAGTTAATAAAGTACTTGCAAGGCAAGCATGTTGACCTGACATGGTGGTGTGGCCCTGTAATCCCTGTGTTGGGAAGGCAGAAACATGAAGACCAGCAAGACTCACTGGCTAGTCAGTCTAGCTATCAGAGTTAGAGCACTTTGGACGCAGTGACAGACTCTGCCTCGAAAAATAAAGTGGAGAGCAATTGAGGAAGACACCTGAAGTTAACATCTGACCTACTGACCTATACACACACATAAAGGACAGAGGGTGGGGGAGGGAAGGAAAGAAGGAAGGAAGGAAGGAGGGAAGGAAGGAAGGAAGGAGGGAGGGAGGGAAGAGAAAGAGAGGAGGGGGAGGGAGGGAGAGAATACATTTTTAAGAACTAACTTGAACAGTGGTTAAGAGAATGGATGAGATCACCTATGAAGACCCATAGTAAGTCTCTGTCAATGGTGTTTGTGTCAGAACAGACAAACCCCTCATACAAACATCAGAAACATTAGTGGGAGAAGTGAAACAGTGTCGCCTTGGCTCACTCTTCAGAATAAGCAGGGAATGCAACAGAAAAATTGTGTTGAAAGAAACAAAAGCACTAACCAGATTTAAGGGAGAAGGGGGTGGGGCGGGGCAGGGAAGACTGAGCTGCAGAGGCTCCGGCTATAGCTTGAACAGATTCCCTCTTAGGGTCCGAGTAATAGAATTTCACAGCAGCTACATGAAAACAGTGTTGGATTCTGGGGTGCTTTTAAATACGGCTTAAAAGTTCAGTACCCAAAGCTGGTGAAGTCGTAATCAACTGGTGCCCGGAAGGTCACGGTGGCAGACCCCTACTATCTTTCTCAAAAATAATTTGGCCATGAGGATTGGAAGCTGTACAAATATTAGTTGTTTTACACTCGGTCCTTATTGTCCTTACTGAAGTATAAGGAGGGAGGTGATTGCTTTATCACATATATTTTAGAGAATCCCTCCCTTGAAAGCAACAGTGGTAACTTAAAGGATATTTATGAAAGCCAGGTAGCAACATGTCCCAGTTGCTTGGTGAATAACAAAATTACCTTCAAACATACCAGCTGGAAGCAATCAATTTGCTTTGCACACAGTTTTTTTGGAGCAGGAACTCAGAAGGAGCCCAGGCTCCTGCTTAGAGTCTGTCAAGGATTGTGTTTAGACCTCTAGCATGGCTTCAGCCACTGAACTGGCTTTCTGTCCATGCTGCAGTCGTGGGAGACTTGATCTGGCTCTCTATCCGCGGTGGCTCACAGCTGTGAACAGCAAGCTCAGCTAAGACATGGTCAGAGTGCCCTCCTTCAGCCTCTCTGACATGGCAGCTTCGGTTGCTCCCTTACCAGGTTTGGTTTCTTCCAGGGCTCCTGTTCCAAGAGCATCATGGCTATTAGTGATCTCGTCTAGAAAGTTATGTAGTATTATGTTCTTCTGGTCACAAGTGTGTCACTAAGCCTGGCCAAAACTCAAGGAGAAGACAAACTTCACTGGTCAATGAGAAGACTGGCAAGGGAATGCAAGGCCTTTTCAAAAATCGCTAATGTGGGCCTACAGAGATGGCTCAGACCTTAAGAGTACTTCCTGCCCTTAACCCACCTCTGGGAGAACTAATGCCCTCTGCTGGCCTCTTCAGAGCACATACAAGCACATGCGCATACCATATATTTGTGTGTGTGTACACATATATGTGTGTGTGTGTGTGTGTGTGTGTATAAACATAATTAAAGCAAACATATTCTTGGAATGCCTTTATATTACTTACAAGTTTTAACTGGAAATAACTTTTCCTTTTTCCTCTTCTGTTTTTAGGCTCTTTCTATTTTTTTCAACTATTTACTTATTTGTTTGTGTGTGTGTGTGTGTACACATTATATGGTGTTCATGTGGATGTCAGAGGACAACTCGAAGCCATTACTTCTCTCCTTTGACCATGTGGGTTCTAAGGTTCACATTTGGGCCATCAGACTTGATGGCAAGTATCGTTACCCACAGTTGTCTCGCTGGCCCTTCCTTTCCCCTCTTACGGTTGGCATCTTCTGCATGCTGCCTGGACATTTCCTTTAGGGCAACACAAAGTTTATTTGGTACATTTTCTACTTCCCATACTGCAGGGGATACTTTTGTTGATCTTTCTCCCACTGTATAACAAAGATCTTCTTTGCCTACGATTCTTGTATTGTTTCTCTGGCTTTCCCAGAAGCCCTCAGCAACAACCACCCCAACGGCCACCAGATTTCAGCTCTTTCAGCCTTTGCCTGCAGTCTGATGCCACGTGCTTTAATTTTTTTTTATTATAGAAACCCCTCATTTGCAGATTCCAAGATTCACTTTGGTTATTATCACTGTGTGAAAAATTGTCTCCAAGTGTACTAGCTTAAAACCACCATTTTATCTGGCTGGCAATTTTGAGCTTCAGAAATTTGAAAAGGGCTCAGCCGAGCCTCTTTCCATTGAGGTCATTCATGCGGCAGAGGCAAGATGTCAGCTGGGGCTGCAAGCATCAGCTGAGCTGATGGGACTGGCAGTGGGAGATGGCTCATCCTACCATCAGGGTTTGATGCTAGCTGTCAGCTATGTGCCCGGCTGGGCTGTCTATCACTGTGCCGGCATGCAGACTCGTAACTTGGCAGTCTCAGGACAATTGGCCTTCTTCCGAAGTGCTAACATCCCTTGGAACTAATGTCCCAAGAGAATGAACTGGCTGAAATTTGGAGGCCTTCTCTGGCACGCATTTGAAACTGAAACAGCATCCCTTTGCTGTGTGGTTTTGGTTACAGAGAGGTCACAAAGTCATCCCAGCTTCACGAGTAGGGGGCATAAATACCACTTCTCAAGAATTTATACAACCAAGGTTAAGGAGAGTGAGCAGAGTCCTGGTTGAAATGACAGAAACGGATAGGAAGATAGGAACAATGGACAGAAGGATAAAAAAATAATTATACTGTTGTCATAGATGATTTCTCTCCGTGTTTTATAATTTGAAACAAGGAAAGATAGAAGAAAATGCATGCCTTAGGGATTCTATATTTCTGATCTGTCATCCAGACTCCATTTCTGTGTTAGCTTTGGTGTAACTATGAGAATCCCGTCAAGCCGGCTTTGGGGACTCAGTTTTGGGGGGGTCATGAAGCACTGAGAATTCAACTGTTGGGACACAGAGGCAGCTCTGGCCCCAGTGGGGATGGATTGAGCTTTGGACTGTGGACCATGACACAACACTTCAAGGAGCACCTCCTTCAGGGTCAGGAAGAAGCCCAAAGGTGAAATCTACTTCCTCGCAGGACCAGGACCTCCAAGGCATCACCACACCCTGCTGCCCTCCGGTCCTGTCTGCTCTATGAAACAATTAACAGCAGAAATAGGTCAAACAATAAAACCGGACAGGGGGCCCAACCTGTCCGAACAGAATGTGCTTGCATTCAGCCCCTGAGGCCACAAGGAGTCAAAGCCAGCTATGTGTGTCATTATATATGCCAGCCCTCACCTACTTTGCTCCCCATACTGTGACATCCAGAATGCTTTATTGACCTGTTTTTGCTCACATAGAAGGCTTTGGACAACAGCATAGAACAGAGGCCTATTGTGGGCTGCATTGTGGCCCCTGTATTCACATATTGAAACCCTCGCCCTAATGTGACTTATTGGAAGATAATGCATTTTCAGAGGTGGTTTAGGTTAAGTGTGCTTATATGCCTGGCCTTCTAATAACTACGAGATATCTATATGCTAGGAGATGAGGGAGACAGCAGACCCTTATGTCAGCCAGGTCCCTTCCTTGTGGGAGCCCAGAGTGCAACAGCTGCAAACAGCAGCCTGCTCGGCAGTTTATCCATCCTGCTACTTCTTTAGGTTGTCCCTAGTGACCTTGGAGACATCCCTTTCTAGTGGCTGCTCACATATCTGACTCCTGCTGTCCCTAATCTAAGCTTTGGCAGGAATGTGGGGTGCCTCTGGGAAGCCCCAGAGTCCAGTGGCCTCTGTTCCCATCATCACATCCGCCTGTGACAAACCATAGAAGAAGGAGAGTGTGGGAGGCTCCACGCGGGGCCCGGATCCAGTTTCCACATCTTCAAGTGGAGTTCCACTAAGGATGTGTATGGAGGCAGGAGGACTAGGTGGACATAGTGGTACAAACCTGTAACCTCAGCGCTTGGTGGGGGGCAAGAGAAGAGGTGGGGAATCAGCTTGGAATGAATGATTAGATTCTGTCTCAAAACAAGCCAGCAAACAAAGGATGGGTGGCTGAGAAGAAATTCTGGGATGTCTGTGTTTGTAAATGTCAGACTTACTCCTAAGAGGGGTGCCCTTGAAAGCAGTGGCCTTGAACTCCTGAGGGACTCTACTGCGTTTCTCATTCTTACCCCCACCAATAACTCCCACTGTTTACAAACAAAAACAGAGTCAGCCAAAATATCTGTCAGTCTCCTTCGGTGCACAAATGGAGGAAAAGCCATGTGAGGACTCTAGAAGGAAGCCATCTTCTAAGACACTTACTAGGAAGCTAAGGAGAGAGGCCACAGGTGAGATCAGCCCTGCTGGCATCTTATTTGGATCTCCAGCCTCTGTGGCTGTGAATAACCAAATCACTTGGCCTCATCTGTCCACTCTGCATGTTTTGTCATGGTGGCCTGAGCCAACACCTATGCAACCCTCCAAGATTCTGCTACTGTCCCTTTGGCATGCCCTCAGCAGATCCTGAGTGTTTTCTTTGTGGTCTAGCACAAGCCGTTAGATACCATTGAATTCTTTATTGCCCATGGTAGGCAGACTGGTGGTCCTCTCTGAAAAAGTAACTGCCTTATAAACCTCCAAACCTGTGAGAATGTGTTGACAGGATTCAGTTTGTACAGGACTGCGTTCCATGAGTACCAAGAAGAAAGTTTTTGAAAGGACACTTTTGTATTCTTGCCTATTGAAAGAAGCATTGAAAAGACTCATAATTGAAATTTGTGAAAATGAAGATTTGTTTCTCAGGCGAGAATGGTTTGCTTTTCCCTGTCTCTGCACAGCAGCGATAAGTGGGAGTGGTCCAGCATTGCCATAGGTGGGGTTAAAGTGGATGGTAGAGGAATCTCTGGATGTCTGCAGTGAGGCACACACAGGAGTTAAGGGAATGGTAATGCTTACAGCGTGTTCTCTGGTGTCCGAGGGACATTCCTGCCACAGGGATAACTTCTCACCAACATGAGGACCAAAGAGATTACTTAAAATATGGAAAGGCGTTTCTGGGGCACTGGCAAGCAAATCAGAGAACTGATTTATTGACTCAGTTCGTGGTTTGATTTGTGTTTTAATTACTTTGTACATGGATACATAAGATGGAGCCCTTTACGAATGTTGTGTGTGCCATAGGGGGAGGCCATGCATAGATTTGTGCTTAACTCACAAGTTCCATGTGCCTTTTGCTCTTTTTCAATGTGCTCATGATTAGGGTTTCTCAGAACCTTCTAGAATGCCTGAGAACAGTGTTTTGTGTAATGATTAACAGCTAGGGGTTTTATTTAGTTGTTAGCTACAAGACTTTGGAACTTTGAAGTTATGCGTGTTGAGGTAAGCTATTACCTTCCAGGGCTCAATGAACTAACCACACACCCTTTTGGTAAGTGGGGCTCATCTACACCAAACCTGTGTGATACCAAGTCTGGGTCTCACTGAATTGATCTCCTGATGTCTGATTCCTTGTTGAAATAGGGAACATTGACACACTTCTGTTTTGGATTAAATGGTTGTAAGGAGACCAGCACTCCTTTCTTGGAGCTCAGGTAGATTTCGGGAGCCAATCCATAGCAGAGCGCCACAGCTGGCACACTGTCGAGTGATACTGCCTGAGCCTGTGAGAGACGTTAGACATGGATGGAAATCGCTGGGAAACGCTGGCTGTCCTGAGGAAGAGCTGGGAAGGTCGTCTCTCTGTGACGGTTTAACTTGATGGAACACACGTGCAAAGATCACTATGCAATGGCTTAGAGTCACTCAAAACAGTGTGGCTGACTCTGGTGCTGAAGCAGAATTCCTTTGCTAATAACCGGGGTCATCTCCACAGTCCTCTCACAATGGGGAGAAGCAGGCGGTGGCTGTCCATCATTTTCCCAACCCACCCTGGATTCTATCAAATGTGATAAAACTCCTTTGCTACCAATATTTCTGAATTCTGAGACTTGCAGCGGAGGCTTAGTCAAGGCAACAGAGAGAACCATTTGAAATGACCTACTGTGCCGGGAATAAGCGTTTTAGCTACCAGATCCTGGGAACGTCTATAAGTTCGCAAGAGGGATAGAGAGATGGAGACAGCATGGTAGGCTTATGTCATTGAGTATTTGTTAAGCGATAAGGAAATATGCCGATGTCTTCCCAAGCAGAGTACCTGGGTGCATGTCGGTCCCCCTTGCACAAGCCACTCCAGCAGTCTGCAGGGGTTGCCTTCCATTGCCATTCCTGACAGGATTAAAAGGAGACCTGTAGCAGAGATGAGGAGAAAAGAGTGGCCTGCTTTAACACAAGGTGTCTCCATGTCTCCATGCTGAGACAACTTGGCCCCCATGCCTCCCACACTAACAGAGAAGCCAAGAGAAGAGACCCCACAGGCTTGGCCTTTCTCCTTGCATCCACAAGTGAGACAAGCCTACGTACCCTGCTTTCTGTTTCCACAGCACGATCTGCCTTACCTAAAAATAAAAGATTAATTCATTTTTAACTGCAGCCCTCCTGCTTCTGGGCTAATCTGAATGTGAGTTGATTCGTAGCTGGCAAAATGAAACTATTTTCCTAAATACTGTCTCTCTTTCAGACTCCACAAACTCACCCCACAGCTTCCCCACTGCAAACCGAAGCCGATTCAGTCTCCTCCTGATTCTCAGCAGCCCCAGTTTCTGTAGACAGCCCCTTCCACAGCTTGAGAGTGGCCTCCACAGAACCCAAGAGTTCTGAGAACCAGAGTGTCATATACAGCGAGGTTCAGTGTGAATCTTCAAACTGTCTATGCCATCGCTGTGACCTGGGTCTGACTACCGGGCTAGGAACTTCAAGTGCACGACTGGGATGGTGTCATGGTTAGTCTTGCTCATCAACTTGATGGGTTTTCGAATCATCCCAGAGACAATCTTCTAGACATGTCTGTGAGGACAGCTCTAGATTGGTCCAGGTAGAAAGGTCAACACTGTCTGTGAGTGGCATCCTGGGCTGAACAAAGATGAAAAGATGAACTGGGCACTAGCGTCTGTTTCTCTCTGCTTTCTGAATGTGGATCCCAGGTGAGCAGCGGCTCCACTCTCCTGTATCGTAGCCTCTCTGCCATGATGGAGTTTAACCTCAAAACTCTTCCGTCCTTAAGTTGTCTTTGTCAGGCTTTTTTTCTTTTTTTTTTTCTTTTTTTTTTTTTTTGGATTTTTCGAGACAGGGTTTCTCCGTAGCTTTTTGGTTCCTGTCCTGGAACTAGCTCTTGTAGACCAGGCTGGCCTCAAACTCACAGAGATCCGCCTGCCTCTGCCTCCCGAGTGCTGGGATTAAAGGCGTGCGCCACCACCGCCCGGGTTTTGTCAGGCATTTTTATCACAACAGTAAGGAGAGTAACTAATGGAGCTGGTTCCCAATTCTTCTCCTGTGGTTGAGATTAAACTCTTCAGGGAAGGTGGTCAATGTGATAGACCACAGCATAGAATGAGTGGGTTCTAAAGTAAACATCCATGGCTTAGTGAAGAAAGTAAATCCCATTGCTAGGGATTACAGAGCTCACTTGACAGTGGAGAGGGGAGGCTAGGTTTCTCTTCATGGTTTCAACAGTTCATAGATGCTTTTCAAGAAATACCAGGAAGATGCCCACCACCAGTCTCTTTGAAGTCTGAATTTAGAGACTGGAGTTCTTTAAAAGGATGAATGGAATTAGATTTTACTTTTTCATTAAAAATTATATGATACTTACTTATGTATTCATTCGTTTATTTATTTAGTGTTTATCTGTGTTCATGTATGGTGGTCAAGGACAACATGAGGGAGCCAACACTCTCCTTCTACCTTGTGGGTCCTTATGAGGATTAAACTTGTATCTTCAGGCTTGGTGGCAGGCCCCTTTCTCTGCTTAACCATGTTGCAGACCCAGATTTTTCTTAAAGGAATAGAGTCATAATTTAAAATCAACCTTCTCGTATGAGTCCAAGTGAATTTTTCTGTACAATCAAAGGCGTTCACTGCTGCTGACCCAAAACAGTGGGCAATCTTCCAATAAAAGCATCTATTTCAGAGGCGATGGAAACTTAAACAAGTAAACAAACAAAACCAGCAACAGCCTTATCTTCTCATAGTCCTTAGTTTTAGTGAAGTCTGTGGGATCCAAACACAAGCCAGTGACTGCTGCTGAGGGAGCAGCTGAGACAGTTTGGAGAGAATCTGCTTGTAAGGGAACAAGAAACACAAGCCCCAACGACCACATGACTGAACCACCTTTACTCCAGAAAGATGAAGCTGGATTTTCCAAGAGAGAGAGAGAGAGACTAGTAGACAGACAGACAGACACACACACATACAGAGAGAGAGAGAGAGACAGAGACAGAGACAGAGAGAGAGACTGGTAGACAGACAGACAGACACACACACACAGAGACTGGCAGACAGACAGACACACACACACGGGGGGGGGCGTTTGTATGCAGGTATATGCATGCACGGACTTGCATGAGGCCCAAGGAGGACAACAGTTGCCTTCTGTCACTCTCTGCCTTGTTCTATTCAACAGAGTTTCACATGATTGCAGTCCCAAGAATCCTCCTGCCTGGCTTTTTATACTGTGCCAGAGATCTGAACACAGGTCCTCACGCTTGCATAGCAAGTATTCTAAACAACTGAGCCATCTCCCTATGCCGGACAGATGGCTTTTTTGTTTGA